CTTTGTCAAGCCGGGCCTTAAAATCCTCTAAGGATGGAGATTCCACCACCTCCCTAGGAAACCCATTCCAGTGCTTCCATCTGAGGAGAAATTAAAAGAGACAACTAACAGGGGGATATGATAGAGGGGTTGGCTCGCTTGATAATTGCCCTGTTCTGTTCACTTCCTCTAGGGCACCTGGCATTGGCCACTGTCGGCAGACAGGATACTGGGCTAGGCGGACTACTTGTCTGACCCACTATGGCCGTTCTTATATTCCCATCCTGTACCACAGAATCTCTATGGACAGAAAGTCCATGCTTGAATAATAAGAGTACAGCAGTGGGAATATGCTACTGACCACCTGCCCAGGATCGTGACAGTGATTGTGAAATATAAGGGAGATTCCAGAGACTAATCCTGCATCTTGGCGGGGGTTAGAACAGATGACCCTGGTAGTCCCTTCTGACCCTATGGTTCCATGATTCTGTGACTACTAAACCAGCCAATGCAATAATAATGGGGGATTTCAACTACCCTCCTATTGACTGGGTACATGGCACCTCAGAGCACAAGGCAGACATACAATTTCTAGACACCATTCATGGCTGCTTCTTGGAGCAGCAAGTCCTGGAGCCCACAAGAAAAAGAGGCAATTCTTGGTTTAATCCTAAATGAAGCACAGGATCTGAGCCAAGAGATAACTACAGCTGAACTGCTCAGTAATAGTGACCATAATTAATTAAATCTGGCATCTTTTTTGGTGGGGGGATACCAAAAAAACTCACCACAATAACATTTAACTTTAAAAAGAGGAATTAACTCAAGAACGAGGATGCTAGTTAGACAGTAATTAACAAGAGCAGTCAAAGGTACAATGCCTGCAAACTGCCTGGAGACCGCTTAAAAACACCTCATAGAGGCTCAGACTCAACGTACATCCCAAATCAAAAAAAGAGGACCAAAAAATGCCACCACGGCTAAACGGCGGAGTAATGGAGGCTGTTAGAGGCAAATAGGCATCCCTTAAAATTTGGAAGTCAAATCCTAATGACGAAAATAGAAAGGAGCAGAATCTCCGGTAAGTAAAATGTAAAAGTATAAGGTAGTCTAAAAAAGAATTTGAAAAGCAACTTGCTAAAGATAACAATAGTAAAAAAAATTGTATTTAAGTCCATCAGAAGCAGGAAGCCTGCCAAACAGCCAGTGGGGCCACTGGACGAGAAAGGTGGCAAGGGAGCACTCAAGGAAGTTAAGGCCATTGTAGGGCAGCTGCATGAACTCTTTGCATTGATACCCACGTCTGAGCCATTCTTTTTCGGTGACAGATCTGAAGTACTGTCCCAAATTGCTGTCTCACTAGAAGAGGTTTTGAAACAACTTGATAAACTAAACAGTAATAAGTGACCAGGGCCAGATGGGATTCACCCAAGAGTTCCAAAGGAACTCAGATATGAAATTGCAGAACTTCTAACTGTGGTATGTTACAAATCACTGGAGACAGCCTCAGTACCAGGTGACTGGAAGGTAGCTACTGGGACACCAATTTTTCAAAAGGGCTCCAAACGCGATCCTGGCAATTACAGGCTAGTAAGCCTAATGTCAATTCTGGGCAAATTGGTAGAAACTATAATAAAGACCAGAATTATCAGACACATAGATAAACATGATTTATAGGGGAAAAGTCGACATGGCTTTTGGAAAGGGAAATCATGCCTCACCAATCTCCTAGAATTCTTTGAAGGAGTCAACAAGCATGTGAATAAGAGGGATTCAGCTGATACAGTCTACTTGGATTTTCAGAAAATCTTTGACAAGGTCCCTCACCAAAGGCTCTTAAGCAAAGTAAGCTGTCATGGGATAAGAGGGAAGGTCCTTTCATGGATCAGGAACTGGTTGGAAGATAGGAAACAATGAGTAGGAATAAATTATCAGTTTTCACAATGGAGAGAGGGGAACAGGTGGGTCCCCCAAGAATCTGTACTGGGACCAGTGCTTTTCAACATAGTCATAGAATCATAGAATCTCAAGGTTGGAAGGGACCTCAGGAGGTCATCTAGTCCAACCGCCTGCTCAAAGCAGGACCAATCCCCAACTAAATCATCCCAGCCAAGGCTTTGTCAGGCCTGAACTTAAAAACCTCAAAGGAAGGAGATTCCACCACCTCCCTAGGTAACCCACTCCAATGCTTCACCACCCTCCTAGTGAAAAAGTTTTTCCGAATATCCAACCTAAACCTCCCCCACTGCAACTTGAGACCATTACTCCTCCTTCTGTCATCTGCCACCACGGAGAACAGTCTAGATCCATAATCTTTGGAATCCCCTTTCAGGTAGTTGAAAGCAGCTATCAAATCCCCCCTCATTCTTCTCTTCCGCAGACTAAACAATCCCAGTTCCCTCAGCCTCTCCTCAGAAGTCATGTGTCCCAGTCCCCTAATCATTTTTGTTGCCCTTCACTGGACGCTTTCCAATTTTTCCACATCCTTCTTGTAGTGTGGGGCCCAAAACTGGACACAGTACTCCAGATGAGGCCTCACCAATGTCAAATAGAGGGGAACGATCACGTCCCTCGATCTGATGGCAATGTCCCGACATATACATCCCAAAATCCCATTGGCCTTCTTGGCAACAATGGCACACTGCTGACTCATATCCAGCTTCTCATCCACTGTAACCCCTAGGTCCTTTTCTGCAGAACTGCTGCCGAGCCATTCGGTCCCTAGTCTGTAGCGGTGCATGGGATTCTTCCGTCCTAAGTGCAGGACTCTGCACTTGTCCTTGTTGAACCTCATCAGATTTCTTTTGGCCCAATCCTCTAATTTGTCCAGGTCCCTCTGTATCCTATCCCTACCCTCCAGCGTATCTACCTCTCCTCCCAGTTTAGTGTCCTCTGCAAACTTGCTGAGGGTGCAATCCACGCCATCCTCCAGATCATTAATGAAGATATTGAGCAAAACCAGCCCCAGGACTGACCCTTGGGGCACACCGCTTGATATCGGCTGCCAACTAGACATGGAGCCATTGATCACTACCCGTTGAGCCCGACAATCTAGCCAGCTTTCTATCCACTATAGTCCATTCATCCAGCTCATACTTCTTTAACTTACTGCCAAGAATACTGTGGGAGACCGTGTCAAAAGCTTTGCTAAAGTCAAGGAATAACACGTCCACTGCTAGTTATCCCTAGCCTGATTCTTGCTTGCATATTTATACCTGCCTCTGGAAATTTCCACTACACACATCCGATGAAGTGGGTATTCACCCACGAAAGCTTATGCTCCAATATGTCTGTTAGTCTAGAAGGTGCCACAGGACTCTTTGCCGCTTTTACAGATCCCGACTAACACGGCTACCGCTCTGATACTTGAAAATGGCAGATGAAATTCAATGTTGATAAATACAACGTAATGCACATTGGAAAACATAATCCCAACTATACATATAAAATGATGGGGTCTGAATTAGGCGTTACCACTCAAGGAAGAGATCTTGGTATCACAGTTTAGAGTTCTCTGAAAACTTCCACTGCGTGTGCAGAAGCAGTCAGAAAGGCTAACTGTATATCAGGAACTATTAAAAAGGGATAAAAATGAGAACAAATATAATGCCACTGTATAAAGTCATGGTGTGTCCACATGAGTCACCACATGGTATGTCGGGTCACCCCATCTCAAAAAGGATATAGTGGAGCTGGAAAAGGTTCAGCGAAGGGCAACAAAGATGCTTCGAGCAGGGGGTTGGACTAGATGACCTTCTGGGGTCCCTTCCAACCCTGATATTCTATGATTTTATGATCAAGGTCATGGAACAACTTCCACATGAGGAGAGACTAAAAAGATTAGGGCTGTTCATCTTAGAGGAGAGACAACTCAGGGGAATATGACAGAAGTCTACAAACTGGTGAATGATGTGGGAGAAGGGTTGTTTACAGAGGCCTGCAAATCCGCAAATATCCGCTTTATATCCGCGGACCATTTTTGCAGATCATGATCAGTTGCAGATTCAGATTCTGGACCCATGAAGGGCTCTAGTTATTTACCTCTTCACAAATACAAAAGCCAAGAGTCACTCAATGAAATTAACAAGCAGCCGGTTTAATATAAACAAAAGGAAATATTTTTTCCCCTGAATGCACAACTAACCTGTGGATCTCATTCCCAGGGGATGCTGTCATCGCCAAAAGTATAACTGGTTCAAAAAAGAACTGGCTAACTTAAGGGAGGCTAGGGCCATCAATGGACATTAGCCAGGATGGGCAGGGATGCAGCCCCATGCTCTGGGTGTCCCTAAATCTCTGACTGCCAGAAGCTGGGAGTGGAAAACAGGGGTGGGCCACTCCATAATTGCTCTGTTCTGTTCACTCACCCTGAAGCTCTGGGTACCAGCCACTGTCAAAGGCAGGATACTGGGCCACATGGACCAGGGTCTGACCCAGGACAACAGCTCTTACGATCTTATCCTCCTGGCTCTCCCGTTTTCACAGCCAGCCCTCCTCACCAGACGGCTTATTCTCCCCCCGCCGCTCCCGGACCCCAGACCTGCCCCTTTGGCCTAGATGAATGCATGCGACTGGGGGAGGGCAAGAAGGAGCCAAGTCTCCCTGGGCAGAGCGCGCAGCGCCCCGGCCGAGTGGCAGAGCAGGAGGCCCGGCGCAGCGGGAAGGAGCCGCGCCCCGGCCATCTCCATCAGCGGGGGCAGCAGCCGGGCCAGCCCGTAACCCCGCGTGCTGGGGCCCCGCGCTCCCCAGCCCGGCTCGGTGCGGGATGCGCCCCGCGCTCCCCAGCCCGGCTCGGTGCGGGATGGGCCCCGCGCTCCCCAGCCCGGCTCGGTGCGGGATGGGCCCCGCGCTCCCCAGCCCGGCTCGGTGCGGGATGCGCCCCGCGCTCCCCAGCCCGGCTCGGTGCGGGATGCGCCCCGCGCTCCCCAGCCCGGCTCGGTGCGGGATGCGCCCCGCGCTCCCCAGCCCGGCTCCCGGCTCAGCCCCGCGCCCCGGCCGGCCCCGCAGCCCCCGCGCCCCACCTGCTCCCGCCGCTTCTGCCAGCGCCCGCAGGGGCTCTCCTCCAGCACCTCGCTCTCCTCCTCGCTCTCCTCCTCCTTCTCCGCCGGCAGCGCGGCCTCCAGCCCCGACATGCCCGGCTGCGGCTCCCTCCCCGAGCCCGCCCGCGGACGGCCCGCAGCGCCGAGCGCCCCAGTCCCGCTTCCCCGGCTCCAGGGCCGGCGGCGCAGGGCAGAGCCCGGGCGTACCCGACACGCCCCCGGGGCCGGCCCGGGCCGCCCCCCGGCCGCCTCCGGGGGCCCCGCACCGCTCGGGAGGCTGGACTCGGAGCCGCCTTCGGGAAGGTTACGGGCAGCTCCGTGTCACGCCCCGGCCCCGGGGGAGCGGGTTCAAGGCTCGCCGCCCTCCTGTCGCCGCGGGGGCCGGGTTCTCATTGGGCCGGGTCTGGCGCCAGCTCCCGGCGCTTGCCCCGGCTCCCCGCGGGCTCCCGGGGCCCTCCCGCCGCAGCCCGAGCCCCCGGGGCGCTCGCACGCGGCGCCAGCCGGCCTCCCGGGGAGCTGGGCTCCAGCTGTCGCCTTCCCAGCCGCCCGGAGTCCTGCGTGTGGCTCTCAGCCGCCTTCTCTCAGGCCTGCCCTGCAGCAGCGCTGGGCGTGTAAACACACACGCTGCCCCTTGGCGGGTGAGGGGTCCCCTGCCCCTGCCCCCAGGCCCGGGGCTGCGGGGAAGTGGGCACCGCGCTCCTGTCTTCTCGGGCCCCCAGTCTGCGAAGGGCCGGGCGGAGGCGAGAGCAAGGGAGGGCACGGGGTACCAGAGACTCCCGGCCAAGGAGGGAGAGAGCCTGCCCCGGAGGGACCCAACGGTGTCAGCAGGGAACAGGACAAAGATCCGGTGTCCCTTTCTCTCCCTGGCAGGCAGCACCCACCGTGAAGTCACAGACCGCCCCTAAGGCTAGAATGAGGATTTTACTGTTCGTTAAGGAAGGGATTTGCAGGGGAGAGGTGGTGTATTGGAACCAGCGCTCAAGGTGCAGAGCTATCCATTTAAATGTCAGGGGTTCTCCTGTCTGGCTTGCAGCCGAGGCACCTCTGTTGGGAAAGATGCCCTCTGGGCCCAGAAGCAGGCTGCCTGGAAAGAGCCGGCCGGGAACAAGGTGGGGTGAGCTGGGCATCGCTGCCTTTAGGGAGCCGCCTTCTCTGTCTGTTCACCCTCATTGAAACAAAATCTTAAGAACAAAACCCCAAAGTTACAGTCACGGTTGGTTTCGGATCAGCAGCCGTGTGAGTCTGTATCCGCAGAAAGAACAGGAGGACTTGTGGCTCCTTAGAGACGAACCAATTTATTTGAGCATCAGCTTTCGTGAGCTACAGCTCACTTCATCGGATTATTCACAGATACAAACGAAAACCATCCGAACCCTCCTGCCCTGGACTCTTTGTCCTGAAAACTAGGAGGTCAGCCCGGTATGGGGAGCCCCGCTAGGGCCCACCGCTCCCCTGAACTCATTCATGTTCCTCTGCCATCGCCAGCAGCTGAACAACTGCACATCCTGTGCGGCCCTCATTGTCTCTCTCGGTGTCTTTGGGTCCCTGTGTGGTAAGGGTCTGGATTTTAAGAAATAAAGTAGCGTTACATTGTAACCATCCAGAAAGAGTCTTTCAGGGCATCTCCACTCAACCAAATTAAATCGGACTAATTTCCATCCGCACCCAGCCGCGTAGCAACTACGTCACTGCTGCACGCCCCTATCTCGCTCCTTGTGTTGGTGGTGCACACCCTCACCAGGAACACTTGCACCGAACATACCATCAGTGAGGAGCATTGCATGAAGCCTTCCTGACACTTTTCCTCAATGGCCTCTGAAGCCTCTTTCCTCTTTGCAGCTGGTAAATGGCGAGCTGGCTGCATAATGGGCCACATTCCCCCAGTGTCAGTCTTGTGCTGGACCAGTGCAGGACAGCCAATGTATTTAGTGGATCAAGTGCCACTCTCGATTTCTAACCAGAAAAGTCTTAGCCCATCCTGCTGTTCCTCACTTAAATATACAGCACTGTGCTGGGGCAGCTCCAGCTGAAAGTCGGGAAGCTCACTTTCACTCTCTTGCTTAGGCCTTGTCTATATGAGCACTTCCTGCATGGCAGGCGGGGGTGTAAATCTGCCTTGGACTAGCCTGCCACCCACTGACTGCCAGTGTCCCTGCATTAGAAGTTCCCTTGGCCCTTTGATCTGCTCCCATTTCAAAGTGCAGTAGATCAAAGCTCACAAGGAACTTTCAGTGGGGGGCAGGAGGAAGCACACAGATAGTAAGCGCGCATCAGGCTAGCGGGAGGTGGGCTGTTCGGCTAAACTAGCCCCTGTAGTTTTCTCCTTTACCAACATGTGCAAAATGGGAACCACTGGATCTAGAAACTGTGATTGCTCTTTGTCCTCTCTGCAGTCTGTAAGAAACATTCAGCAAACGAACAAAGTCTATCCCTACTTCAGATCCACAAGCACTTTAACAGATTTAATAATTTTATTAAGATGATGTTAAAATTAAAAAAAAATGATACAGATTTTAAGCGTAGAAGTTTCTGGTAGCTAATTCCCCCGAGACCCTGAGTCTCAAAGTAGGTCTCAGCCTCTCCCCACCTTTCCCTTGCTGGAGAGCAATCGCAGCCTGTTGCTGTTCTGGTTTTTGCCCCTGGAGGCAAGCGCTGCAAACCAATTGACAAGAAATAATTTGTTTCACCTGGGCCATGTCTTTAAATTGAATTTCTACAGACTGAATTTGTAAGACACCTTCATTACTTAGTTGTTAGCCTTAAAGAAATCCAGACTGGTTATTAGTTCATCCACTTTCTCGGTTAGCCAGACTTCCTGCCTGAAATCCAGAGGCCCAATTTCCAAACCCCGTTTTTCCAATTTGGAGGCATTTGCATATTCTCCAGAGTGTCTCCATTTGAGACTAATTAGGGGATTCCTTTTTCAGTCCCTTATTCCCCAGCAGCATCAGCATGGCCGGGCTAATCACTGTTGTTTGAGCCCGAGTCCACTGTTCTTGTGCAGCTCCTCTTACACATTCAATAGCCAACTCCTGTGTTTGCTGATTAACTGCCCAGGTCTGAACTAAACCTGTCAGGCTGCTCCTTGTGCTTCCAGGCTGTGCCCCTGCTGCGCTGTGCCCCTCTCCTGTTTCCTGAACTTGATGAGGGACTTTTATAGATTCCAAGGCCAGAGGGGACCATTGTGATCATCTGCTCTGACCTCCTGTGTCACACAGGCCAGAGAACTCCCCCAAAATAATTCCTAGAGCAGAGCTTTTAGAAAGACATTCAATCTTGATCTGACAATTGTCAGTGATGGAGAATCCACCATGACCCTGGGTAAATTGTGCCAATTGTTGATTACTTTCACCATTAAAATTTTGCATTATTTCCTGTCCGAATCTGTGTAGCTCCAACTTCCAGCCATTGGATTATGTTAGACCTTCCTCTGCTACATTGAAGAGCCCTTTATTAAATATTTGTTCCCCACATAGATACTGACAGACTGTGATCAAGCCACCCCTTAACCTTCTCTTTGTTAAGCTAAGTAGATACAGCTCCTTGAGTCTACCACTGTACGGCAGATTTTAACAATCTGTTCCAGTCACTCAAATAGGTCGTGAACCAGATTAGATTCCCCTTTTGCATCATGCATATTAGCACAGAGCTCAGAGTAACAGCCGTGTTAGTCTGTATTCGCAAAAAGAAAAGGAGGACTTGTGGCACCTTAGAGACTAACCAATTTATTTGAGCATAAGCTTTCCTGAGCTACAGCTCACTTCATCAGATGCATACTGTGGAAAGTTTAGAAGATCTTTTTATACACACAAAGCATGAAAAAATACCTCCTCCCATCCCACTCTCCTGCTGGTAATAGCTTATCTAAAGTGATCACTCTCCTTACAATGTGTATGATAATCAAGTTTGGCCATTTCCAGCACAAATCCAGGTTTTCTCACACACACCCCACCCCCCACAAACCCACTCTCCTTCTGGTAATAGCTTATCTAAAGTGACCACTCTCCTTACAATGTGTATGATAATCAAGGTGGGCCATTTCCAGCACAAATCCAGGGTTTAACAAGAACGTCTGGGGGGGGGGGTTAGGAAAAAACAAGGGGAAATAGGTTACCTTGCATAATGACTTCGCCACTCCCAGTCTCTATTCAAGCCTAAGTTAATTGTATCAAATTTGCAAATGAATTCCAATTCAACAGTTTCTCGCTGGAGTCTGGATTTGTCTCTCTCAAACCAGAGAGATTGAATGTACATTGGTCAAACTGGACAGTCTCTACGTAAAAGAATAAATGGACACAAATCAGATGTCAAGAATTATAACATTCTTAAACCAGTCAGAGAACACTTCAATCTCTCTGGTCAAGCGATTACAGACATGAAAGTTGTGATATTACAACAAAAAAACTTCAAATCCAGACTCCAGCGAGAAACTGTTGAATTGGAATTCATTTGCAAATTGGATACTATTAATTTAGGCTTAAATAGAGACTGGGAGTGGCTAAGTCATTATGCAAGGTAACCTATTTCCCCTTGTTTTTTCCTAACCCCTCCCCCTCCCCCCCCCCCAGACATTCTTGTTAAAACCTGGATTTGTGCTGGAAATGGCCCACCTTGATTATCATACACATTGTAAGGAGAGTGGTCACTTTAGATAAGCTATTACCAGCAGGAGAGTGGGTTTGTGTGTGGGGGGGGTGTGTGTGTGTGAGAAAACCTGGATTTGTGCTGGAAATGGCCCAACTTGATTATCATACACATTGTAAGGAGAGTGATCACTTTAGATAAGCTATTACCAGCAGGAGAGTGGGGTGGGAGGAGGTATTTTTTCATGCTTTGTGTGTATATAAAAAGATCTTCTACACTTTCCACAGTATGCATCCGATGAAGTGAGCTGTAGCTCACAAAAGCTTATGCTCAAATAAATTGGTTAGTCTCTAAGGTAGCACAGAGCTGTATTTACAAGGTATTGCAGGGACCTCTGCTCATGGCTAGGGCCGCCTCCTCCTTGCCGCTTGGGGGGATTAGCTCTTTCAGCCTGACACCCTCTTCTTGTTGTTCGTTGGCCCATTGTCCTGATCTGCCACCCCTCTCTTACTCCTCAGGAGCTGCAGCACCTTGTCTTCATGGCTTAGCCCTCTGGCCAAGTCATGGTATCCCTCCCCTTCCAGGGCACCATCAAAGTCCTCCACGCTCTCCCAGACATTTCTTAAATCCACTGCCCTGGCTAAGCCAGTCCCCCAGTGACTGGAGCAAACCGTCCCAGACAGTCTTCAACTTCACTGCCCAGATTGTGCCACTCACTCAGTGGCTGGAAGGGGAACATACTTCTCAGTCTCAATTCATATGGGAAGATCCCCTAAAACACACGCACAGGCCAGCCCTATGTAACACCTCTATCTCAACAATAACTAGCCCCACATTTAACCAAGGAGACTCTATCTATCTATCTATCTATCTATCTATCTATCTATCTATCTATCTATCTATCTATCTATCTATCCCCAGACACCCCCCCACTATCTCTCTACCTTCCTTT